CTAACCATGTATTTACCCCTCAAAGTCTCAGAAAACGTAGGCACCATTAAAGGCCTTGCAAACCTATTCAACCGCCAAGATTTCTTGAAGCAAAGCATTGTCGGCCAAATAGCAAGTCCCGTTATAGCACATTAAAGCAGGACTTTGCGAGTTTAATGACACAACTTACCAATTCCAGAAACACCTGTCCCCTATCAGGCAAGGGTGTAGTGTGGTGACTTTCTATAGGTCAGGGGAGCTAGTCACACAGTCACAGAAGTTTGTTACTTGGATGCACATTTTCTGGCGATTCAGTCTATCTGCCCCTGGATTTAGGAACATCCAATGGCATGTACTGCTCCCAAATCCACAAACTGCAACAGTGAAAGGCTTCAGGGATGAACTTGGAACCCTCTTAAAGCAGGGAGAAAGTACTCACAGGAATCAAGTGTTTGTGTAGCCAGTATCCACAAAGTCCATTTAATTTCAACTGTTACCACTTGCCAAGCATAGGACTAGCTTGCAAGATTATAAAAATCAGTAAACCAGTGGAGTCTTCTGACTAGGACACTGGGAATTACTGGCATTTTTGTCTATTTGTCATTATTTTTAGTTTAAAAAAAATGCATTGCCTTTGGGAAGAAAAACTCTGAAAGCGTACAAATAAATCCAAAGACCCCAGACTCAAATGAATTTTACACTGAAAAAACAAAAATCAGTTAAAATACAACAGTAGTGTACTCTTCATTCTAGATGGGCAAGTGGTGAGAGATCATGCTTCTTATTCCTGATCAAGAGAAGAATCCGTCTTCGTATCAGTTAACCCAAAACTCTATACTAGCTATAGCATTTAGTAAATGATAAAGCAGGGAGAAGTTAGAAATCAAATATGAGAAGCTGAAACTCAATATTTAAATTCAGAAACATGCTGATTAATACTCCTATCTTCTGAGTTGACAGCCACAGATGTCACCACTTACTATCACCTACTGTTCAGTAATACATACGAAGAAATGAGAACCCAGAACTGAAAATGGAATCCACCCTCTCCATTGAGGGCAACTCTACACTTTTAACCATGTAGTTGTCTGAAACTGCCATTTCTAAAATGATTCTAATACAAATGGTGTAGACCTGTGCATGACAACTAGTGCCAAATTATGCCAAGAGAAACTTTTACATGGTAAATCTTGATTTTACTGATCCCAGGTACCAGTTGCCCAGCAAAGAACAATCGTCCATTCAACTCAGATGCACCATCTCTGTGGAAACACCCTGTTACCACTTAAGCAACAGAGCTGTAATGAAGTCATGCAGCTCCTCTCCCTATGGATCAGGAAATGCTTGTGGATCTTAACCTACCTAAGGTGAGAGAAAAGGGGGCACTGGAGGGAGGGAGTGCAAACTATTAATGGCAAATAAAGTAATTCCACACATAAAGATATTCTTCTAGTTTATATTTTATTGCATTATGAAAATAATACATTTATTTGGCAAAGTAATCTAGGCTCCAAGTTGATGAAATAAAATTCTGAAGAAAGTGTACTAATTATTTTTAAAATGTGAAATATTAGATGTATTCTAATCAATACAAACTAGCATTCTTGCTAGGCCAATAATCCAATAAACCTAATTATAATAATTCCATATGAAATTACAAGGTGTTTTTGCATTCATCCATTTTATGATTAGCACAAATCTCGAGAGAACTAAGCTTCATCTGATCAAAACCAATGTATTTAAGAAACTCCTGTTCAGAAGACATTGTGAAACACTATCCAAAATTTTTATTTCCTTTGGTTCTACAAATTGCATTTTTGTCCTTACCACGTTACATTTCTCATACTCAAACATCGTAGCTTTAGATTCTGCCCCAAGTATCTTTATAAGTAAACTAGTATATTACAATTACATTATTTGAAAAATTGCTGACTTTACAAATGCAAAAATGCATAAGTACATGCCTATCTACACCAGCAAAATAAAACACTCTGAACCTCCATGCTTCAACAGGCCATGCCTTCTTACCCAGGGTTTCTGGAATGCCTTTCCAAGCCAGAGGGTTTTATAGCTCTGACAGGCGATTTCACTGCTCCATCCACACTTCTGAAAGGTGTAGTTACAATAAACCCTAAGTGGATTAAATGTATCTGATAATCAAACATTTAAAATATGACATTTTCCACTACTCATTTCTGTTTGCCAACATTTTCAGAAGTGAAAATATATTTTTTAAAATGTACTGGGATAATGTTTCACTTTCTTAAAAGGGAAAAGTGCTAAAAGGGTATTCCATGTATATTCTTGCTCTCCTCATCAGCATTTTAAATTCTTTTTACATGTTGGGTTCAGAGTCTAGAGTCTAACAGGTAAACGATCTGCTCAAGGGCAAAACAGAAAATAATATTTTAATCACCAAAGTCCTAATTCTTCATTTAGATCTTTTAATATGACTTTGCTGATGTGTGTTAAGAAAATGTGCCTAAAATTAGCCTTCTTAAAATACACATCTGAATCAGTTACTATTAGAACTGACATTTCCATGAAGCAAAGTCTGTGTAAGTGCACCTATGCATATACTAGAGGAAATTTACTTCCCAACGGACATCGTATCTCCAACCAGCTGAACAAGGTTTCCCAGTTTAACTATCTAAGTATTCCATCTATCCTAAAGAAAATATTCCATGAGCATTCTACAACTATCTGTATAAACAGCAACAAGTTTGATCTATGATCAACATAAGAATATCTAATAAATATTAAAACTATTAAACTATAGATTAAAATGCAGATCTCTCATAGAGTTGAGTGATGGCATTTTGGTACATTCACCATTATTGTACTTTATTTAATAAAGAAATACATTTGCCCTTGCCAAAATAGCAATTGCAAGTTTACAAATAAAACCACAGACCTCAAAGTCATGACGCTCAATCTTCAACTTATATTTAACAGAAGTAAATCAGTTTACAAGTGGTCCATGGCACAATTAAAATAAAAAATATCAAAAGGTCACAGAATCTTAAAAGAATAGGTTTATTGACAATAATTTCATAAATATTCTAAAGAAAATTTCAAAATTTCTAAACTTAAAATGTTTAAAATCTGCTCTCATTGGCAAAATATCCCTCAAGAAAATAAAGAATAGGTCACTACAAATGAATGTCACATTTAAAATTTGCTTCATTAACATTTTTGCAAAATTTTTTTTTTTTAATTTACAACGTGTGATTTTTTCTTCCCCTCTTGGATAACAGTAAATAAATCAATACTCAGTTTTTATTTCAACTATGAGACATATTCACAAATATATCATCTAGCTGCTGTAAACCTGACAGTCAAGTCAGTCAGTAGTATAATATCCTACAGACATAAACGGAGCCAACTCATTTTGGTATTTTTAGTCATAGCGACTGAAGTAGGCAAAATGCAAAACTTGTGGTTGCCGCCCAAATCACCCCAGAGCATATGATACAGTGTCAGAAAATGTTTGCATCAGTTTTATAAGTTCATCTGTGTACTTCAGGTATCTGAAATTAAAAAAAGGGATTCTTATATATTTTGATAAAAATGTACTCAAATATTTCATAACATTAATATTTATTGCTTTATATGAATACTGTATTGAAAGCCCAAGCATTCAGTTTACACACAGAAATTATACAATTATATACCGCTTCACAAAGGCAGTGAACACATTACATTCTACAAAATCTACTTTACAGAAATTTAAAAATTCTAAATATCAAAAGGTACAGCTGAAGAAACAGGTATAAATTTGGCAGCCAGTAATTTAGACAGGGAAATTGCAGCTTGCATGACTTTATGTGAATTTGAAAATATTGAGTTTAGAGTAACCATTGTGCTTTGTGTTGATCTGAAAAATATAACACTGGCTGTCGAAGAAGCATGTTCAAAAATATTTAATTCACTTCAAAATGTCATACAAATTACGGTGGTTTTTATGTACCCCTAAAGCTTCAGTCATTTAGCTCTGGTACATTACTAAAGTAATATATTAATTCTTCCAGTACAGTGGTGTCTCATACCATTGACATCTGTATACTCTAGAATAATTTAGAAAGAAATGTGTAGTATTCCCACTGTTCAGAAAAGCAAGCAAAAGGTAAAGAAACCTGCCTGGTTCTTCTGAGATGGTTTCATGTCAGCTTTATAAGCATTCATTCTACAAAACAGCAAGCTAATGTTTGAACACAATTTCCAAGATAAAGCACATTTTCTCATAAATAATGAAGTCTTTTTCTCAGGCACCTCAGATGTATACAAAAGAATTTTAGTTTGAACAGATCTCTTGGAATGTGTTTAACCTGGTATTTCAACAGACTTAAGATTTCCAGGGTTCCACAAGGGCCAGATTTTATTTGAATTACTCAGAAGAGAAAGAAACTGTCTTCTGAAAGAGGTGAACTCAATCATTACCAATAGAAAAAGTATCCACTGTATTCATCTCTTATAGAAAAAGAAAAATATAACATTTCCCCCCTTAGCATAATATATATATATATGTATATATGACTTAAAGTTCCATAGTACATAGTCAAACAATAAAATCTGGAAACCAACATGAAACCCTATAATTCACGTTAAAATGTTGAAACTATGACCAAAATATGAAAACTGCTAGAGCTGTCAGAAAGAGACAAGACAAAAAGCTTTCTTGCATATGTATAAACTAAATGTGATAATCTCCAAAAGTTTTCAAAATTATAATTATTATCTTCCAGTTTAAAATTTTTAACTCTAAATTAAAAAAAAAAACAATCTATACACAAACCACTGATCTGACCAGAGCAAAAGAAGTCAGCGTTAAGCAGGACCCCGAGGAGCTGGTACTCACAGTTCTTACATGTGCGACTCTTTCAGGATTGATCCCATACAGTACTTTATTTTACAACCTGCTTCTCTTGTAAAACTAAAGGTCCACTTTATTACATAAAAGTTTTATACAGTGTGAAACCAGAACTGTATGGAAAATACTGCATCTAAATATTTCTAAATAGTTAGTCTTGTTCCATTGGTTCATCTGTGACTTCTGTGGCTTCCATGGAAGATTCTGAGAGAATCTCTCCAGTTTTACTGGAATTGGATCCTATTAATTCTTCCGTTTCATGGCAACTGGAACTACTTACAGGGCCGGTATTTTCACTACCTTCAGAATGTAAACCTCTGTCAACTTGAGTCAGATCAGATTCCTCCATTTGATTATTTTCCTCAGAAGTCTCTTCATTCACAGTTAAGGCATCATCAGATTCTTTTTCTTGATTTTTTCTTTCTGGGATCATTTCTCTTGATGTCATAAAAGACTCTAAAAATAAGCAAATGTTGTTGTAGTTAAATTTCATTTTCAAAATACCTCCACAGTTAAGTTTCATGAATTCTGATACTCTACAGTTCAAATCATACCCCTGACCCTCAGCAGCAACTACAGAACACATAAAGGTGGGAGAAAAGCCCAACACCAGCATTGTAAGGAGGTCCATTATGTTAACTCTTTCATGCAAAACTGAAGTACAAGAATTTGAGGCTCTCCTTACTCCACCCTTTTACAGACAGTCTCTAAATACCTTCTTCCTCTTCATCCTCTTCTTCATCCTCTTCTGTACAGTGCTGCCTGGTACAACTAATTTCTTTCTCGTTATTCTGAGATGAAGATGGAGCTTCTGTTTCTTCTGCCATAACTGAAGAAATTTCACTGGAAGATGTCTGACTGGCCATCTCTCTGACGTCACTTTCTTTGTCAAACCTGAGTCTTTTTACCTCATGCCCCTCAGCTTCCGCAGTATCTTCATCTGGATGTTTATTTTTTATAGGGCTCACTGAGGGACCTTCTGATTCAGACGTCGAAGAGTCACTGTAAATATTGTTTTAAAGCGTCATTAGTAAGACTGTTTCTTCATCATTTACATTCTCATTTTTAAGGTCTAATAATGTTTAACTGTATTTCAGTGTCAAAGTTAAATTATAACATCTGGGCAAGGAAAAATATAAGAGAATAATTTCGAGGACACCTAAACTCTTTAATAAATATTTCCCACTAGCAACTTGTCAATAAGTTACATGACCTTTCTGTTCAATTCTCCAGTAAGTTAAATGTCCTCCTATAATAAAACTACGAGTCTTCCACAGGGACATACTCTTTTCTTTTCCTTAAGTAATTTATGGTGAAATGTTTTTAAACTCACAGAAAAAGAACTATCCTATCCCCCTAAAGCAGATCCCCTTAATTAGCAACTCACTGCATTTGCTCCATCACCCTGTCTCCATCTGTTTATTCTTATTGTCATTAGTAATTTTCTGAACCATTTGAGAGTAAGCTGTAGATAAGACTGCTCATTATTCCTGAGTAAGTCAGAACAAAGACACCTTTCTGCATCATCACCAATTTAAGAAATCAGTTCTGATAAGACCCTTCTGTCCAGGCAGGCCAATACTCTTTAATTCCTCTCACTCATTCAGTCTTCCTTCCCTTAATGTGATGTAGAATATTTGAGATGGGATATAAATAAAAAGGTTTCCTTTCATGATCTACAATGAGAAATGATTCACAAAATTTCAACTCATTTATAAATATCTTCTCTTTTCAAGTAACTTTCAAAAAAGAAGAAAAAAATGTATCATGACCACTTTCTTAACACCCTATTATAAATAAAATCTCCCCAAATTAGCAGTTTAAGTCTTTTCTCTGCCCATCGTCAGCATGTGATAATGCTGCAAAAAGCTGCAGCCCCTTTTAACTGCATTAAAACCTTTTCTACCCCTCAAAACAACAGTAAATTCTAAATAATAAATAATGAGGGCTGAAAAACCATCAATAAATGTTAACTCTTTTGGAAAACATTTTTTCTTTTAAATATAAATCACATACAAACCTGTGATTTTTATCCTCATTTTGCTTTAAGTTTGACTCTTTGCTGTCTGTGCTCTCAGGTAAGCCATTTGTTGTCATGGGGACTGACAAAGAAACCTTTGGTCGATTAAGTGGCCTGGGTGTTCCAGGTCCATTTATATTAGACCTACAGTAAAATAAATGAACATCATTTTCCCATTTTTGTAAAAAGTCATCCCTCCCAAGGTTTGTTTATATGAACATATCACAGAAACATTTTCTTTAATTTTGACTTTCAGAACCATGGGTTACCAAATTAACTAATTCTGTTTGGTATATCCTAACCTGCCATAAAATTCCCAATTCTTAATAAGTATATTGAATTTCCTACCCAAAATTAAGAAACTGCAACTCTTTGAATAATAAAAATCAATAATCTGACCTTTCAGTGTAACTTGGTGAATTTCCAGGAAACATAACACCATTCATTCGATTTAAACTATTGGAACTGTTCTTCCTACAAGAAAAGAAAAAAAAACTTTTATGGATTGTTTAATTCTTTAATTTTGATGAGAATCACGGGTCTAAAAGATCTTTTGTAAGATCTCACTGTCACAGAACCAAATGAAAGACTTCTAAGAAAAATAGCTATGGGATTATCTTAGTATGTTATTTAACAATATACAGGTACATTCTTCAAGAGTTCTAACAAATTCACCATTATTGGTCTGTATGAAATCAGATATTTTAACCATTAAGCCAGTGTTTCTCAACAGGTGGCAACATCTTCCAACAATCCCCCTTCCCTCACTCTGCATCCCCAGGGGACATTTGGCAACGTCTAAAGAAATTTTTCACGGGAAGTGGTGGACACTACTGGCATTCAGTGGAAGCCATGGGCAGTGCTAAATCTCCTGCAATCTCAGGACATCCACTCATAATAAAATACCAGTGGTGCCAAGGAGTGTGTCCTAAACTGCAACCTTAATTTACTATATAAATCTCAGCAACTGGAAATAATTTTCCATCATGAAGAGCGATGTCATCAAGTAGCTATTACAAACCTAAGAATTATTTCCTAGAAATGGGCTGTCTCGGATGGGATCCCAGGGTCCAGACAGTACATAAATCCAACAGGGTTAAGACTGCAGTAAGTCATGAATCTCTTTAATACAAATCTTTTCACTGGAAAAACATATAGGTAATGTTACTGGTAATATTCTACTTTGAGTACTGGATGGTAGTTTCATAAGCATTTACAAATGTTATCATGCTTAATTACATATAAAATAAATGCAACCTATTTTTAAGACTAATACATTAGAAATGATTTAATAATTAGACTATACTAGAAAAAGAAAAATCTCTATACTTACTCTGAAGAAGGATAAACACAGCTAACCACCATCACATTCTGCAATAACAAAAATTGGTGATTAATACAAGGGAAAGTACAAAATAAAGTTTAATTATTTGTTTATAATTTCTCAAAATCTCCCTGGTATTAAGTTTCCATTTTATTACATTTTTACTAACAAAAGAAATGGCTAAAAATAAAAATCTCTAGTGGCTTCCGTGGTGGCACAGTGGTTGAGAGTCCGCCTGCCGATGCAGGGGACGCGGGTTCGTGCCCCGGTCCGGGAGGATCCCGCATGCCGCGGAGCAGCTGGGCCCGTGAGCCATGGCCGCTGGGCCTGCGCGTCTGGAGCCTGTGCTCCGCAACAGTGAGAGGCCCACGTACCGCAAAAAAAAAAAAAGGAAGAAATAAAAAGAAAAATCTCTAATCAAGCAACGAAAACTAAAACAACAGCAAAAGCCCAAAATCTAATAACCCATTAAACTATTTGTTTTTTGCCAGCCTCATTTTTTTTTTTTTTAACTCTACTCTAGTTACTTTAGAGCCCTGACATTATGTATTACAGATAATAGAACACGACCACCGTCTCTTATTTGAGACAGAATTTCACGAAGATATTTAGAGTTTGAAGTATTTAGGCCTACTATAACGAACTTCCTTTTAAAGCAGTACCCAATCAAAAGCTTGATGTGTAGCACGATATACCTCAAGGAAACAGACTCAAACCTTTTTTATAATATAATCTTTCTGATAACAATAACTTTATTAATAGTCAATATTCACTGCAAGTTTGCTGAGCCAAAGTAAGCGCTTTTACATCTAATCCTCCTCACAGCCTCATTATGATCCACACTATATAGATGAGGACACTTGAGACTTAGGTTATGTACCTGGTCCATGGTCACACAACTATGATTACTGTGACACTGCCTCGTTATCCAAAGATTGCCCAAGTGGAATTACTGAAAGTCTCTGAACTGAAAATAAGTACTGAAGAACCATCTCAGTTTCCTGCCCTTCAGGAATCTTACTAAATTGAAGGTATAGAAGCTCAACAAAACACATTAATCCAATAAGGCCCTAAGATCTATTATAAATCACTAGGTAATGATTTTGGATTCCTGCTCCAAGGGTAAAATAAATTGAACTTCAATTAGAAACTTAAAATAACACTAGACTATGTTTTAGGATCAATCACTAAAACCAATGGTTTTAACAAAACCACTGGTCCACAATCTTGGTTCCCACGGGGCTCCTTCATTCACTCTTCACTCCAGACAAGTCTATGTGTCTTGCTTTTCATTCTCTCAGACTGTTTCCTTTGTCCAGAATGCCCTGCTCCTTTAACATCCCCTCACCCACTAAAAACCGAATGCTTCTCTCATTCTTAAACATGATATATATCCTTCTCAATATCTAACTTAAATGCTTTGTATCAGCGATTTTCCAAGTTGTGTACCTCTGAACTCTAGAACTAAAGAAATGAATTCTGTGGATAAACAAGTTTGCAAAATGCTCTATTATTAAAATATCAATTATAGAACTTCTCGGAGCTATTAATATGTTAAGGTATACTAAGAATTTCCACGAGACAATAATAAACTGCTTTTCCCAAGCTTAACTGACCTCAAGCATTCCTCCGCCTCCCTCCTATTAAATCTTCCTCTGAAACTTAGGACATAATTTGGAAAACAAATTGGGAAAAACTTCAGATAGACTGAGAAACCTATTTCAAGAAAAGGTGCCTGAAACAGGGCCTACTCAAAGTTCTTTTCTGAAATCTATTATGCTACAGTTTAATATAATTCCAATAATAAAATAAATACCTTTTCTACTCCTCTGAGAAATTTGTCTGTTCCTGTATAGTTTCTCCTTGGATCTGTGAGCAATTCACACAGTCGCTGAATAGTAAAAGGTATACTGCAAAAGAATATAATTTTATAGTTTGGGGTCATTAATTATCAAGAAAATTAGGAACATTATTACACCTGCTATTTCAAGCTTTATCTAGTCACCCCTGTGTTAAGCTACAAAAGAAAATGCTACAAATGAATGGATGAGTCACTTAAAAATAGGCAGGGCAATAAGCACACCTGTCCTCTTATTTAAAAAGAAAACAATGTTCCCTCCCTTGCCTTAAAATGCAATAAAAAAGAACACTCAAAATTAACGGAAAGCTTCAAAACCGAGAAAAAATTTTAACATTCTTAATTCTGACAATTCAATTTTAAGTTTACAAGAGGCAACACAAATAATAATCAAGTAAGAGTTTATTTAAATACAGAAACTTTCTCAAGTATTCTTTTGCACACAAAGATTTTTTTAGTGTTCAAATAAAACTACAAATGTTTTGTTATCAGACAGAATAAGACAAGTGATTCCAATGAAAAAGTATTATAAACATAGTTATGCTCCATAATTAAAACTTTATGTACAACCTACATGTTTCATCAAACTTAAAATACATACAAATACACTCAATATTTTGGTAGGTACCTTATTGTTTGACAAATACTTCAACCACAATCAAATTTTCACCTGACCACAGAAAATACAAAACTGAAACACAAATTGGACCTAAAATCATGTTATAAACAGCGGTGTTTATCTCACACACTATTAGCATTCCTGAGTTACAATATGAACAGCAAACGTGAGCAGAGAGATGACAGATGCAGTTAAAAAGTGTAAACGTAAACTTTAGACTTCAGTTATTTGCCACACAAATCTATTTATGCTCCTTATAAAGACAATTACAAAGCCTCAGATTAACAGTTATTACCCACAAAGTTATTTCTTGTTGACAGGCAGATCAACACAAAATTCCCTCCCCTCAACAAAGTAAGGCCACTAGTGATTAATACCGCAGGACTCAAGAACCCAGTCTAACTTCAAATCCCATGTTGTTCCTTCCACTACACTGCACATACGTAAAATCGTAAATGTTTATTTTCTAGCTGGACAAACAATGTTTAGTTCTCCTATTCTTAGCATCAACACTATTCTTATGTTCTTTTAAAAATTCAAAAAAAAATTCAATATACGACCTATGACAAATTTTGAAAAGGTATAAATATTATTCATATGAAAACAAATATTTTAGTTATGCGAGAGACCAAGTATCAATCTTCTCTCAAGTCGTATATCAAAGCCTAAAAGTCAGAAAACTATCATTCTGCCAAAAGATTGGGCACTAAGAGGCGAAACATTTGTCTCATTATCACAAATATTCAGAGGCAGACAGAAATACAGGACAACTTCTGATATTCATCAAGACTGCTATAGGAAAGTTCTTTGGTTTCTGAGAAAAAGTAATGTTTTTTTCTTCTTAAAATTCATAGTAAAGTACACTGTCAAAACTAATTATCTTTGTTTTTCCAAACTGTCTTTTTTCATACTTGACTGAAAGCTTCTTAAGGGCAGGCTATCTTCACATACAAGATAGTCGATATATAATTTATTTATATACATATATATCTGAAATGCAGTACCATCATGGATTTCAGAATATTACTGGTATACCTGTACCTTAGCCCCTCTTTGAGTTCACTACCTTCCAAATCCTAAACACACACACACTTCCAAATGCTATTCCCTCATTAATGACCTCAGAGTGATACTAAAAAGGAGTTTTCACACATTTTTCAAAAGCTAGCAAAACTAGCTTAACCCAGTGTTAAGAACATTCAAATACTATTTAACCAGCAAATACTTAAACAGACATTGTCTAGTTAGGTCTATTCCTCCAACTAAATTTCTTTCACACACTGATACTAGTACTTTCTCTTAAAATTAACTTTAAAAGATGAGCATCTTCCAACTCCCTGCTTAACAATGTTTTTACACTAAATGTTTTGGCTAATTTTCCCTAGGAAGGTAGGTAAAATGTTAGTCAATTATTAACACTGTATGTGTGGGTGAATATTAATACTGCTTTATGAGGAAAAATGTATTATGTTTGCATAACTATGTCAGCCTATGACAAAATGAGTTTACATTCTTAAGACACTTTCAGAAGCTTTTAAAGTCATTTTACCAAGTGTCCAATAGATGGCACTAAAATGTTATACAACTCTCCCTCAAGTAAACAGACTTAAAATACAAACATTTCTTGTAAATCAAAGTATCCACTGGAAACAATATTATAATTCTGACAACTGCACTGAAGGTCTCTTCATAAAGTTTGTACTTTTTAACCTTTTAAGTAAACATGAGAGCCTACTATGAAGCAGAAATATTAATATTTACTCAATAGCAGACCCGACAGACATGTAATGTAAACAATGACAATTAAAAACAACCCAATTACAACAAGAAATGCTAATAAAATTGTGTATACAGTGCTATGGAGACAGAATAAACTGCCAGGGAATCGAGGATAAACATGGGAACACTAAATTTAAGGTGGGTCTTTAAAAGGAGGTATAAGAATAAACCAGATAAATCCCAAATGAACACCTGGTACAACTATATGAAAGTTCTGCTTTCTGTTACTCTTCCATTACACATAAGCACACAAGACAGTTTATTCTAACTCTGGAAAATATTAACGCGTTACCCAATAAATATCACTAGCTAAATTAAGATACATGCTAAGAAGAAAAAAACAGCAAAAATGCATGCTGCTAACTCCCAATGAAAAGCATGAACCAGAACCCCGAAAACGGGAGAACGGGGGAGGATGTTCATTAGCAAAGATGCACTGTAAAGTAATTTAGTAGAAAAATATTTTGGGTTATTTAAAATAAAAGGCAGTCAGTTTACTCTGCAAGATGTCACCAATATATTACCTTATTTACCCACATCATAAGATGAAAACTAAGATTATATAAGGAACTGAAAGAAAAACACTTTTGAAAAGGATATGGGTCTTCCCTGGTGGCGTAGTCGCTGAGAGTCCGCCAGCCAATGAAGGGGACACAGGTTCGTGCCCCAGTCTGGGAAGATCCTACATGCCGCAGAGCGGCTGGGCCCGTGGGCCATGGCCACTGAGCCTGCGCGTCCGGAGCCTGTGCTCCGCAACAGGAGAGGCCACAACAGTGAGAGGCCCGCGTACCGCAAAAAAAAAAAAAGGATATGACTAGCTTGCATTTTATTAAGCAAACCAAATAAAACTATGACTACAATATCTAGTAAAACTTAAAAAAAACAACATTAAGTTGTTTCAAATTGTGTTACTCAGAAATGGTACAGAACACTATCAACCAGTCCACTTTTAATGCACAAATTACATATAAGGCAGTGTGGCTTAAAAAAAAAAAAATACCAGCTACCCACTGGGACACCTTGCCCTAGTCGAATTTACCTCTTTAAAGCCTTCATGTCCTTTCCTGGGAAACAGAGATTCTGAAAGTGCACTTCTCTTGTGATTATCATAAGCACTGAATACATCATGCATATAAATCACTTAGGGCCTGAAATATTTTAAAGTGTTCAATAAATCTTACTTCCTATCATCATCCTGATCCCATCTGACTTTGAATGTAGATTGTGAGAAGACACAAACCCTCCAAAGACCAACTACAGTGAAACAAGGCAAAAAATGTTTTTAAAAATATTCTTTTTAGGACTTCCCTGGTGGCGCAGTGGTTAAGAAACCGCCTGCCAATGCAGGGGACATGGATTCAAGCTCTGGTCCGGGAAGATCCCACATACCGCAGAGCAACTAAGCCCGTGCGCCACAACTACTGAGCCCTCGCGCCACAAACACTGAAGCCCGTGTGCCTAGAGCCCGTGCTCCGCAAGAGAAGCCACTGCAATGAGAAGCTCGCACACCGCAACGAAGAGTAGCCCCCGCTCACCACAACTAGAGAAAGCCCGCATGCAGCAACGAAGACCCAATGCAGCCAAAATTAAATATTTTTTAAAAAAATTCTTTTGAATTCCAAAGAAAGTAACTAACCCTGATGAAACAGGATCACACATTTTACATTAATTATATACCTGAATTTGACTGTAATCTGTCCCCATCTACTGACTTTAAAAAAAGACCAAGTCTTGTATATCTAAAACCTATGGGGATTCAAATACCAAGAAAGCTGCTGAACATCAGGGAAAGACATCTAAGCTCAAATTAGAAATTTCAAACACTAACACTAAGCCCTAAAGATAGAATTTCCTATCCTATATTTTAACTTGAGAAAGACTCTAAGTAACTAAAATTTATGTTCTGTTTTTAATTTATCTTAGTCTCTTTAAAGGTTTGATCAAGATGTGCCAATATTCTGGATATATACCAAGGTATTAAGAAGGCAGCCAAAAAGAAGAACTGCACATTTCATTCACAGTCTAAGATTTTAAAAATCAGATAATCTATATCTTGCCTCTATGTTATTATATAAGCAACGTTCCTCATAAAAAAAGATAAAGTAGTATAAGACACAGAGGCCATTAAAGTAAAAGGCTAAAAGAGATAACCACAAAACCAGACATCCTATTTAAAAACTGCTAAAACAACCAATCACTTCTGTTTTATGCATAAAGGTGATTTTTACCACATCTTTATTTTCTATTAATGACCACATTTATACTGTGCCTTAGTTAACAATTACTCGTTTGACCTGAACTACTTAAGTAGAAATTAACTTATATATCTCTTAGATATCAAACGTTAAATGGGTTAAGTTTTGTTTACTCTTAAGTCCTACAGAAGTCAGAAATCACCACTGGAATCTTGGGATATTATCTGACCTGAAACAATATGCTCTTTCTGGATCACACTTTATTTAACATCTGTATAAATATACACAACATAAATATTCATATGCATATATTTTACAACTCAAATCAAATGTTAGTAATTGAGATTTATTGAAAACAGCACTGTAAAATGGCAAGTATAGAAAATTAAGAAAATGAAGAATTAGCCTCTTACAATAATGATAAATAACCGTAAACTAGTATCTGTACCATACCCCATT